AAACCCTAGGCCAGAGACAGTCGGGGCCCGTTGGAATAGGTTCCAGGCCCTCTCGAGGCTATCCTTTATTTTCTATCTGTTTATCTCCACGATATTCTCTGCTATAAATCCTTCTATCTAATATTTCCTGCTGATCGCACTCAAGAAAACTCTGGGGAACTGTGGGGGTGGTGGGTAAATGCCCCACACACTACCTAACCTCTGCGGATATATGTGTCTTATACAAGTTATTCTCTCCACTCCCATTCTGTCCCAGTAATAGTGCCTTGTACACATAAAATCTAAGGACCATGAGTTACACAATCCATTCAGCAACACCCAACTGATCAAATCCGCTGCTAATGTTGGACTCCAGATTTCCCCAGGTGCACATCTAAAGACTCTAATTAGATTCCCTGTGTCTCAGACCACCTTACATATCATCACTTATGTATAATAAAAATATTATTTTCTTACTTCAGAGAAACATGAATTAACAAAACAAGTACTTCTTCTTATCAAAGTGTGGACACAGCCCAGAGTGACTTACAGAACTTCTGGGAACATCCTGTGCAGGCTTTGTGTATGTCTCAGATAGATCGCCATTCAGAATGACTTCAGCCAGAGAGTTCACCAGTGGGGCGTGATGTATAATGAGGAAGACCTGGTAAAAGGGGTAAGATGGGATATGCATTGAGGAGCTCAGTCCTCCACTCTCCTCCTCCCTGACCCAAAATACCCAGGCTGAGGATGGGTGTCATCAAAGAGAAAGTAGCCCCTCAACTCCAGAGGGCTTCTTCTCCCCCCAACCCCCATTGCCTGTTTGGCTAGCTGTTCTTTCTTGGGAGTGCATCAACACCATTGTTGCTCCAGTGCAGCACTGTGGGAAAGGAGCAGCCCGATCAGTACACTCCTTCCTTTCCGTGGCACCAGGACTGGTAAAGGGGCAGTGATGCTGAGATTCCAGCACTGGAATTACCCCAAGCCCTGGTGTGGGTTTCAGCATGCTGGGTTATAGCAGTGTTGTAGGTGGAAGTCACAGGAGCCAGAAGTAGGTCCAGTCAGGCTGGGATGTACAGCAGAAAGCTCTAGTTGTCACCCACTTTGCTGCCTCATGCTCAAAGAGTGGCTTTAGGAATCAGGGTGTTCAAAACTGACCTGTCAAGTTGGCCTAGACACACTCACTACCTTGTTTTAAAATGTAGAAGTGGGCCAGTAAGGTGACTCTGCAAGCTAAGCAACCTGAGTTCAATACCCACAACCTACAGTAGGAGAGAACTGACTGTACAAAGTTGTCCTCTGACCTTCACATGCACACCATGGCACATGTGTTAACCCCTACTTCATGCACATACACACTAATAATAAATTTTAAAAATATAGGCAATAGATGTAGTATAGTGTGTGGTATATCCACCATATCCATGGGTCCCTGGCAGGTGTACAGATTCTAGCAGACAGATCTCTATCTATAGACAGATCTCTGTCCATGAACATATCCCTGCCTATGGATAGATTCTTGGCTATCGATGGATTTCTGCCTGTGGATGGATCTCTGTGGGCAGATCTTTGCCTGTATACAGATCTCTGCTTGTGTGCTGACCCTTGCCTGTGGACAAATCTCAGCAGATAGACAGATCCCTGTGGGTGGTTGCATATAGTGCTCATTTTCCTGGCTCTGAACCAGGAGTATGGTGGGAGGGATCCCCACAGGAGAGATGTACAAGTTTGCCCAGGCCAGGCTATCTGCACCATGTTTTTATGATGGGAGGCAGCTTAGTTTTAGAGGATGGCATCACTTCTTATACTAAATTACTGCCATAGATGTAAGTTTTCATGGTAGCTATGCTGGCAATACTTGTAAGCATGTGTCAATTTTATAGGGATGTAGATGCTTTAAGGACACAGCATTTAAACTGGACTTTTCACACATTTAGGCCACATTATAATTAAGCTAAATGACAATGTAGGGGAGAAAGGAAGAAGGGCTAAAGGTTTTTCCTTTCTTCTTCTTCTTTTTTTTTTTTTTTGGAGACAGGGTTTTACTGTGTAGTACTTACTAACTGTCCTAGAACTGACTATGTAGACCAGGCTGGCCACAAATTCACAGGATCTGCCTGCATCTTGAGTGCTGGAATTAAAGTCATGAGCCACCACACCCAACTAAGGCTCAAGACTTTTCATTTAATTTTTGTCTTACATTTATTTATTTTTGTGTGTATGTGTGTTCCCATGTGAGTATCATGGCGTGTATGTGGACATAGAGAACAGATAGATGAAGTTCTCTTAGTCTACCATGTAGGTTTCAGGTATCAACTGGGGTCATCAGACTTGTTCTCAAGCACTTTACCTGCTGAGTCATTTTGCTAGCCCAAGTTTGAGTGTAGAAGAGATCTTTTTAAGGCTATGAGTCTTAGCAACAAAGCTGTGTTCTGAGGGAGAGTGAAAGATCAAATGATGAGTGGCCTGGGCCATCAGTCCTTCTCTAAGACACTAAGAGATGCTTCTCAAAGAAGAAGCTGAAGGAGTAGCCCAGGAGCTGGTGACCACGTCCTCACAGGGAAACCTGCCGATGTGATGCTCCAACAGCTGATGAGTTGTGAGAATGAGTTTCTTGGTTAGACCTCTGTAGCTGGGCAACTGACCTGTTTGAGTCCTGCCAGACTCCCAGAATTCCCAGCAGGAGATGCTGACAGGCTTGCAGTGAGTCAGCACAAAGGTCTGCCAGGAGAAGCTGTCTTGTTAAGGTGCTAAAGGTTGGTGGCACAGAGGGACCTGAGACAGAGCAGGCCTCAGGCAGAGTTCTGAGCAAATAGGGCCTCCAGAACAAGGCTCCAGGATACAAGCAGTGATCAGGCTACATCTGGACCCAATTGACCTCCCCACTGTGGGAAAATGGTAACTGGACCTCTTCTCACTTGAGCAGGTGCCAGCATCACCCCAAACTTGAAACAGTGGGGATCCAAGTAAAAGAAAATCTCACTAAAGGGAATCAGCCCTGGTACCACAGCAGACATGGAAACAGAGCTCTAAGCAAACATCTGGCTACGTGAGAGCTGGGTGAAGTGACCCACGAATCTGGACTGCTAGAAATAAAAATATTTCTGAAGTTATGTAACTGGGTCACCATGGAGTTTTCCCCCTTCTTGTAAATATTACGTAATTACAAGACGTGAAGGAAGAAACAGTCGTTTAAGGAGGGAGGCAGGCAAACCGACTTGAGACTCCAATCTCAGGCTATAGCTGCTCTAAGATCCCTTCAGACGGTGTTCTGGAACCAGAACCACTACAGACCCTCTGCAGACAGCCTGGCAAGGCTGTGTGCTAGACCACAGCTATGAGTGTGCATTTGTCCAGCAACCGGGGCACATTTCTAAGCACTGTGAACAAAAGCCACACAAGCCCACATCTCCAGGCTATGGAGAGCACCAGCCAGTTGTTTGGGAAGCCTCATCTAGAAGTCAACAGCACGGATGCCAGGCATCATTTCCCTTTCCTTTCCACCTTCCACCATGAGGTTGAGTCTTACTCGATGTATGGAAAACACAACAACCATTCTCTGTGTTGGGACCCTGGATACACCACAGGACCCCATATGTGTAGGAGACACTGGAGACAGAACAAACGTACCTGGGAGAGAAGATACAGGGACACTGGAAGGCTGATTTTTGGGCGTTCTCCTCCCTAGTGAAGGACAGAGAAAAAGAGGTGGCTCGGGTCACCAAAGGCATACACAAACCTAGAAGACCCCAGTCCTCAGTTCAAACTGAGAAGTGCAACCCCTTGCCCACTGCACTAGTCAAGAGCCTACTCTGAAGTAGACAAGCTCAGCTTGATCCCAATCCACATAGAGGCTAGCCTTTCCCCTAAGAAATCCTGCACCATAGCCCTGGCTTGGCAGTTGACCCAACACAGGAGCTTACTCACTTCCAGAGTTACAGAATGCTCATCCCCCAGCTGGGCACTGAGGGCCCCAGGCCTATTTCAGGAAGAGGCCTTCACAACATGGGGCCCTCTGGCCTCAAAAAAACCAAACAAATATACAACGACAAAGCCAGCTCCTTGTTTGCCCTCAGCTTCAAATGGCCATGTCAGACCAGTCCTAGGAGGGTGGGGGGATCTTCAGGACCCTGGTTTTGTGCCCTATCCAAGGAAAGAAGTAGAAATGACTCCAACCTCAGGTCTCAGTGATTCTCTTTTAGAGCTGCTCCAGTGCAAGTCAGAGTTGACTTCCCTGTGCTGTATTACTCATTAATTGGAAGAATGCCCATGCTCTAGGTCCAAAAGGTGCCACGCCCTTGGGACACATCTAATGAGGTCCCTTGCAGGAGGACAGCTGGCGGGTCTGCTCCTTATAAGGCCGCTGATGGGTACACCTGTGTTCTCTCACCTCCTCTCACTCCAAACTTAACTCTGAAGGGACAACTGAGGCCTCTCTCCCTGAAGCAGCTTTTCTCTTGGGGATCCCGGATCCAGTCACTCATGGCATCACCTAGAGATGGGTTACACATGCAGACTCCCTGTCCTAACCTATGCCCACTAAACCAGAACCCCCGAGGGCAGATGGTATCCCAGGAAATTGCCATCCCCAACCCCATCCCCGCCCCCTGTGGAGGACTCAGGCGGACAATTTGTGTTGTATTAGGGGACCTTTCCTTGAGCATGCTCCAGCACTTCCTATGTGTTTCCCATGAAGCTTCTAGTGCTGCCTGGTACTTGTCTGAGAATAAGCTCTAGTGAGCACCAGGGACAGCTGGGGTGACGGAAGCACCTCAGAGAAGGGCTCGCCGGGGTGCAGAGGCCAATTCTAGGGTCTCTCACTTCCCTGATACCAGGGATCTTACATTTCTTGGTCACTTTCTCATCAAGAAGGGAGAACCAGTTTGGGGGGGGGGGCTCTGAAAGGCCTTTCCCTGGGGTGTGAGGTTTTGCTACCCACCCCCTACAAAAGTTGCTCCAGCCGAAGGCAGCATTGTCCCTCTTGGGACACCTGCAGGAGGCAATGGGCCAGCTGCAGACTCACCTTGTCCGGGTTCTCCAGTGAGTATACATAGAGTGGCAGGAAGAGCCTGTTGAGCAGATGGTCTGTGAGCACATCATTGAGGAACTCACAGTTGATGATCAGGATGTCATTGAGATAGTGCAGGTGGTCCAGGTGCTCAGCCACCAGGTCACTCAGTTTCCCCCGATTCCGATGCCTGTGAGAGAAATGTTCCTCTCAGCCCAGGGGCCAAGGTTTGGGGCCTTCAGCTTAAACCTTCACTCGCACCCCCATTTAGGTAAGCTAGTCAATCAGGTGAGCTGGTGTAGCTACTGCGCCCCCCCATAGGAAGACAGACGAAAGAATAATACACAGGACCACTGAAAACATTGTGTAACTCCTGGGGCTCTTTCCCCATGGCCTTGGCATAGGCACCCTACAACTACAGCTTCAAACAAGTGGGGGTAAGCTAAGCAAAGAAAACAGTGACGCCCTTGTAGGAAGTCATTGCACGACGTAGTAAGATTTCTCAGATCCACAGATGAGCAGCAGCACTAAGGGAGCCAGACATCCCGCCAAGCCAAGGGCTCCAGAGGCAAGAACTGGAGACAAAGAAGGCCTTACTCTGCAGCTCCAGTCACCACATGGCAGAGACACAGAACAAAGACACACACTCCTCCTCAAGTCCACGCTGGTGGCTTCTGTGATCTTGCAGCAAGCAACAGCCGCGCTGCCCATGTTTTCAGGGTGCAGTCAAAAGGACAGAGTCAAAGCAGCCAGAAACAGACTTTACCACCTCCAAGCAGAAGGTGGGCAAAGAGCAGTCAGCCGGGAAGTAGGGGCATTGTGTTTGTATCAGCATTACTACTACCCAAGTTACAGATGGCCATTTCAGAAGACAGGAGACTTGGAAGATAAAAGCCAGAGGAAAGAAAAGGTTCCAGTGGGGTCACCACTAATGAACACCCCACTATTGACATTTGGGACTTACCACCTGACAGCTTGGTTTGCATGTTTTTCTCCCCCACCCCCAGTCAATCTAAAATGTGCTTAATATCCTAGAAGTAATATGTATCAGGCAGGGAAGTTATAGCAGGCTCAGATTTGCTTTCACATAATTTAGGGCAGTTTTTCCATACTGTAAACACTTTCCCTAGATACCGATAGGAAATCCACATTGCAAAGCCCAAATATAATGAGAATCTATGAACCATTCCACCAGAGACCCAGCACACACACACACACACACACACACACACACACACACACACACACAAAATGTTCCATACTCCACCCTTAAGATACCATCAAAAACTGGCTTTAGTGGGCTTTACCATGCCTCACTTTCGGATGTTTTCCTTTAGAACTGAAGTAATATGCATGTGTGGGTTTAACAGCCTTGGTCAGATCTGGCCCAGAGCTCCCCAACCCAGAGAAGGAAGTGTGGGTATGATACTAGGGCCTAAGCCTGGGGTCTCATGTGTGCTAGGCACGTGTTCTACTACTGAGTTACATCCCTAGCCCTCTTTTTACTTTATTTTGAGATAGTCTTCTTACTCAGTTGCCCAGGCTGGTGGCCTTGAACCCACTATGTAACCAAGACAGGCCTTGACTTTTGATCTTCCTGCTTAAGCCTCCCGAGTGTCTGAGCTCCCAGGCCCAGCTGAGCAAATGTCAATCCCTGGTTCTTTCTGCAGGCAGTCCCGCCCACCTTCTGTGAAATCCGCACTGACTTCCACTCTGTTCCTGACCCTTTTTAGATGCCGCCCACTGAGCTCCCCTCACCACAGAACTGACTCCCTGCTGTCCCCCACAGCCGTCACTGAGTAATTAGAGCTGATATTATCATACTGGTCCCTGCAGATCTACAGACTACGAGTTCACGTCCTTCCCTGAAGCACATCGTTCCTTCTGGAGGACCGTGCCTCGGTTCACATCTGAGGCTGTGATCCACACGGGTTCTCGGTTTCCAGAAAGCTCCATCAACCCTACCATTTCTGTAGCCTTGCTTCTCCCCAGTGTTAGACTGCACATGCTGCCTAGCTCCTTGTCTAGGAGAGCTCCTCTCTGGATCCCTCCAAGTAGACCTTTGACAAGGTGAAGCCTTTATTTGGGGTGGTGGTTCTCAGCTGAGGGTGAAGTAATGTCAGGAGGCATTTTTGGTGGTCCTGACTGGAGAGGTGCCATTAGCCACTTACGGACAGAAGAGGCCATGCAGGCTGCTGAACATTCTGCAAGGCAAAGAGGGAACTACAGCCATGAAGTGCCCAGTTCAGACAGTTAATAGTACTACGAGAGAAGAGCCCAATGTGGAACTTTAAGTCATCACTCTGAGGACAAAATCACCACTACCATCTTTAACTATTTTTAAAACTTTTTCTTGAGATATGATTCACTTACAATAAAACTCACTTGTTTCACATACATAATTTAATGGGTTTTTAACATTTTTGTTTGTTCTTGGAGTGCTAGGAATTGAACTCAAGGCCTAGCAAGGATTCTTCTACAAGACCCCATGTATGCTCATCATACCTGACTTGAGAACAATTGTAATCTCGTCTGCCAAAAGCTCTGTACTCATCAGGAATGGCTTTCTGTCCCTTCCTCAGAAACACCTCCCTCATCCTGTACTCCAGGCCTAGGAAACCACAGTCTACTCTGCCTTTAGATTTGCCTCTTCTGGGCATTTCAGTGAAATCACAGGCTGTGTGTCTGCTCCCTTCACCCAGGTCAATGTTTTTGAGGTTTATCCATAGCATAGCAATGTGTCAGCACTTCGGACATTAATGGTTAAATACTATTCCACTGCATGGACAGACCACATTTTGACCATTTTGTGTCTGTATGGAGGGAGGATAGAGTATATGTGCATGTATTTGTGTGTAGGTACACGTGTGTGCAGGCTTGGAAGTTAAGGACAACATCAGGTGTCATACCTCGGACACTGATACTTTTATGTAAGATAGGGTATCTCACTGGTCTGGAACTCACCAAGTAGGTTAGCTGGCCAAAAAGCTTCCAGGGACTTGCCTGCCTCTGCCACTTTACTCGGCATTCTCCTGTGGGTTCTAGGAATAGAACTCAGGTCTATGAGGCCAGTGCTTCAGCAAGTGACCCAGCTGCCCCGCTCGACATTTTGGTGATTGGCACATCCTCATCTGATGAGCAGCCGAGCAGCCCCAGCTAGGGAGGTACTACCCCCATCCAGAGGCACGTGGAAAAAGTCCACATTCCCACTGTCCTAACCAGGTGGGCAGAACCTTTCGTAGTCTGGGTCAGTGCTGCTCTGCTCTCCATTTCTCCTGGAGGACACAGAATGCTCCCTTCACCACCCTGTCCGATGAGACCAGTGGAGCATTACTTACTCCTCATCTGTCTGCACACAGTTGTCAAGTTCGATCACGTGGCTCCCAATGAACCAGACCAAATTGGAGAAGTACGGGACAGCAGTTTTGTCTCTGATGTAGTGCAGCATGGCCTGGTTATCCACTGAGAAGATTTACAGAAGAAGAAACAGTGAGCTACCAAAATAACTCAGGGACAGTCTTACAAAACAAAACACCCAAACAACCAAAACCCACCACGAAAAAGCCTTGCTACCATCTGAGACTCTCTGTCTTTCCTGGAAACACTTGGAAATGCTTATTTTATTCATCAAACAAAGCAGTGCTGGTACTATTCTCAGTTAACACACTCAATTGCTATTGCTGTCATTGCAGGTGGCACTGGAGAGGCAATGGGCAAGACCTGACTATACTGGGATGCAGCACTCTCAAGCAAGTCTCCTGGGTTTACTTGTAAGGCAAATTCAGAAAGAGGAAAACCAGAGGTTAATAACTTACATGACACTGGAATAAGGAACAGGAATCGGCATTGGAGGAAAGGCAAAAACAGACAACAGTTAACAGGGTTAGGAACTGGGAAGGTGAGACATCAGCCCAGAGGGACAGAGCCTAGGCAGGAGCCATCTAAACCAAAAGACACAGTTAGAAGAGAGCAAGAGAAAACAGAGCATAAGCAGTGGAACCAGCTGTGCGTGAGCAAGGTGGCAAACTCACAAGGCCGAAGGAAGGCTGGAGTGCAGACTGGGGAGTCAGACCAGCCCAGAAAGGAGCAGTTGCTTCTCAGCCTTTGACCACTTCCCCATGGGAGTGTGAGCCCAGAACAGCCAAATGCTCAGCTTCAGGTCAGAAATGCACACTGTGCAAAAGCTCCAAATTTTGAAATATGTGCAATTATATATATACACTTCTTCTTGTTATTTAGACAAGGCCTCTCTATGTAGCCCTGGCTAGTCTGCATATTTTTTTTCAAGTCCACCTGAGCCATCTAAAATGTGTCTGAGGACTAGTGTGGGTCACAGACTCTCAGTTTGGGACTGCTGGCTGGACCCAATTAGGCTCTGAGAAAGGCTCTTAAATTTAAAGTAATCCCAGGACTGGCCTCCCCTGACCCCTGACTGAGCATCTCAAGTAACGCAAGTCAAAGCCCTTGAATGGCCAAGAAATAGGGGCTCAGCTCCACTGTGGTTACTAGAGGGAAATTAATTAGGCTTTAGGTATTGTCTTAGAGGGGCAGTCCCAGCTCCAAAAACCTGCAGCCAGCCTGTATGCCAGCACAAGCAGGGCTCCTGGAAAGACTCCCTGCCATAGACAGTATGGAGCATGAAGTACATCCTGAGAGGAAGGAGGAATCTGTTAGCACTGGCCTTGGTGGCTGGCTAGAAATACAATACTGCCCCCTGCTGCTTGTGATGTGAAATGCTCTCATGCATATTTTAAGATAAAGTGTAAAACAGTGTGATACAGTATATTTTATAAGCCAAAACACAAAAACTGAAAGCAAAAAAAATTTCAAGACAGTTTTGCTTCATCCAACTACTCCATGGCCACTCCAAATCCCACACAGACTTCTCGGGATATCCTGTGTGGCAGCAGCAGGGGGCAATACTAGAACATGCAGTACAAAGATTTCCATAAGGAATAGTGATATGCCTGCAAGCCTACTGTAAGACAAGCAGCCATGGCTCATACTAGGCAGTCTCTCTTGACTCAGGAACTGTGCTCAGGTGCACAGGAACCAGCACTTGGCCCAGCACTTGAGGCCTGAGTGCATGAGGAAACTTACCTTTGTAGACGTTCAAGGTGATGGTTCTCACAGCAATTCGAACCATGCTCTCGGGGTGATTGAAGAACTTGATGGCTTCTGTGTACAGGGCAAAGTCATTGGTGTGCTAAAACAGAAAATGGACCCAAAAGTTACAAATCCACAAGACAGGTCTGCTCCCAAACCTTTTTGAAATTTGTCAGATTGTGATAAAAGAAAAATAAAATGATGTCACCATGATGGCAGGTGAGGAAGCCAGGGGAAAGAAAAGGGTCCACAGAATGTCACATAGTCTCCGGATCTGGCCTATCACCTTCAGCTGTGTGAGGAGGTATTTCCAAGCCCATTTCTTCATCTATAAACCAGGGGTAACAGCACCCACTTTCTAGTCTCTAGGATGAAATGAGGTCATTTCTGGTCCAGCGCACAGCCCAGCACTTGGTACCTACAGAGCACAGAACACGGCACTAGCAATGTCAGACCCTGCCTGAATAAGAGCAAGCTGGACCAAGTTCAGCAACTTTGGCTGCTCTACCATTGTTCTCCATTTGGAAATACTAAAAGTGGAGCAGTATCAGGGAGGCAGAGAGGTTTTCGGGAGTCTCCCTCCTGCTGTTACAATGGGACAAAGAGAACCAATGAAACGGTTCAGGGGGCTGGAGAGATGGCTCAGAGGTTAAGAGCACTGCTTGTTCTCCAAAGGTCCTGAGTTCAATTCCCAGCAACCACATGGTGCCCTCTTCTGGCCTGCAGGGGTGTGTGCAGACAGAACACTATATACATAATAAATAAATTAAATCTTTAAAAAAAAAAAAAAAAGAAAAGAAAAGAAACGGTTCACAAAAAGGGTGTCTTAGCCTGAGGAGATGACAGCGCAGAGTGACCTGGCGGTGTGCTTCGCTGCCCTCCTGCTGGCCACTGTTTCCACACAGTTCAGGGACCCAGCAGTGGTTCAGGGGAGGCATGCTGGTGGAGATCCTCCAGGCCAGCCCCCCTTCCTGGAATGGAACTGGAGGCTCAAAGCAACAACTGTCTTATAAGGGCAATGCCATTTTGAGGACTGGCATTCGAGTATGAACCTAAAAAGTGGCAACTGCTATCCTATCTCAGACTGAAGAGGAAACTAAATCCACCCTTTTACAAACAAACACAAGGCTCCTGGGATGACCAGCTCTTCCAGAGCCACGGCTTCTGCTCTCCCACCACTGCTCAGGGGACACCTGAGCCAAAAACAGGCTTTGGGCATGTGTGACAACCACTCAGGAGGTGGCTGTGTGACAGTCAGCCTCCAAGGCAGCCACCTGTGTCAGGCTCATGCTGTGCCCACCCACAGAGAGGTAGATCAGGCCTGTGTGACCCAAGAGTGTGGCAGAAGGAAGGGTGTGCCTTGTGAGGCTGGCTGCAGAAAACAGCACTGTTTGCTGTGGTCTAAGCAAGCTGACTGTAAGGACATGTGGACAGCCCTGGGAAGAGGCCCTAAAAAGAGCTGTGGCCTCCCATGTACAGCCAGCATCAATTAACTGCCCTGGCAGTAAAGTAGATCCTCCAACCCCATTGTAGACTCCGGGATATCAGCTTCCTAGGACACTGTAAAACAGTGCTACGAGCCAATCCTAAAGCCCAGGCACACTGAGAAGAATGTGATATGATTCCGATCAGTGAGACCTAGGAAGAAATCTGGGAGAGACTTCTGAGGAAGTGTTCTCAAAAGGGGTACAAGGAAGGAAGTGATATTAGAAATTCTGACAGTAGCATGTGACTATGTGATGTCAGGAGTTGCAGCAGCCACCATATGGGACTGAGTCTGAACAGATACTTGGGCAGTTACTGAGCAGGAGATTGGGAAAGCTGGGCCCCTAGTGCAGTGAGCTGGTATGAACGGACCCAGCACAGCTGGCGTTTGTACTTTTAAGTACATGAGCTCAACTGACCTTATTCTCAAGCTCCTTGGAGCTATTAGTGTAGAAGTGATGAATTTATCTAAGTTGTTAATAGCTCTCCCAAGGGATGTGAAGGACACAGGCCTCCAAGGACAGCAAGCTCAGTTAAGCGCCTACTTGACAATCTTGAGGACCAGAGTTCCAACCCCAGCACCATGTAGCAAGCCCGACATGGTCTCACACGCGCCTGCAGCCCCACCACTGAGACAGGCAGTGAAAGGGGGCTCCCTGAAAACCACAAGCTCCCAATTCAGGAAGAGATCCAAAGGAATAGGCAGAGAATGACAGAGGACTTCGAGTCCTCACCTGGCCTCCATGCACCCAGAACACACATCTACATTCTTCACACACACATGCACACACAAACATACATTTCCAAACAAAAAATTATTTTCAAGTATGCTAAAGCCTGTGCTGCAGAAAGTGCTTTGTAGACAAACTCCTGACCATGCAGAGCAAAGGCTACTCTGCTTGGGTCACCACTCACCTCATTGTAAAAGAAATGGACAGTGTGGTTGTTGAGCTTTAACGACAGTGTTTTCAGGAACGATATGTAATATGCCATGATCTCCTCGTCGGAAAAGTCAAATTTATGGACAATGATGGAATTTACATAGTTATTAGACAGCAAATAATCTAGGAGAGAGAACACAGAGTGAAACAGGTGAGTTTGTGCTAGAGGAAAATGCCAGCAAAGGCTGCTGGGTAATAAGCACAGGAACTCAGCCAGCTGAGCACAACGGGCAGCTCAACCTTTACCCCTCAAAGAAATCATGTACTAGCCAGGACCACCTGCAAGACACAGGTCCTGCCAGGGAGGAGCCTATGGCCTCCTCTGTGAACCAAAAGGGACAAACCCATGTATGTTTTCTGTTCATTGCTAGCAAAGTTCAGTGTGAAGCTGAGGGCAGGAAGGACAGGCATGGGGTGACTGTCACAAGCCACCTGCAAATAAGGGTAAAAGGCACCTCATTTTAATAAGGAGCTGCCCTACATGGCCATCAAAAGACACTGTCATGCCTGAATGCCAGGAAGGGCTGCACGTGTCTTCAATCTGTCTGTCTAGTGACAATTTCATAAGGTCACTGCATCCCTATCATGTGTCCAGAGCCAGATAAACCACCTCAGATCCTAATTCCCTAACGTTCCTCTGGTGGTTCTATGGGGAGCACCTTGACTGAAGACATCCCACTGCTGTTGGGAAGGCTGGCTTTGTCAACAGAGCATGCACTTAGGAAGGGATACACCCAAGGGGGTGAAGGTGTCGATGCTATCACCACTCACCCAGCCAGCAAGATGAGCCAAACCAACCTTAGTGAGCACCGGGCTGTGAGAAGCACCGGGCTGTGAGCCAGTGCAGCCGGACTGACCTCATGTCCCTGACAGTGACAGTTGCTGAGGCAGCTCTTAGGGCCAGCTCCAAGAGAGGCCAGGAGGGTGGGGTGGGATCCTAAAAACCTTAGCACTTTGTAAAATGAGTCATAGTCACAAGTGCTATGGGTAAGTCTGCTGTATGTGGAAATGGAACTCTAGATAACCTCAAGTTCCTGCACATAGGCATTTCACACAGAAGCACGTGAATCTCAGGTGTCTGACTTGAGGGATGGGATACAGATGAATGCTTTGGAGGGCCCACTCAGGTAAGACCCGGTCCTTTGCAGCTCCTCGGGAAGCTCTTTCATAGCCCTCCCTGTCAGCATCTCCTCTCAAGGCAGGACCCACTCTAACGCCCCGTCTCTATAGACTCCTGTACCCGTTTGTGAGCCTTACACAGAGGAATCAGACAGGATGAGTGCTGCCTGTGTCCGGCCTCTCACTCATCGCCACATCTGAGTGTTGTCACACTGCTGTGTGTGGCAGCTGCACTACCTCTCCCTCTTCATTGCTATTTGGCATTCCATTCTTTAAACTGTCCAAAATGCATTTATCCACCTATGATTTGCCATGGAACAGCAAACCCAGGTGCTTCTGATAACTGTAATACTGTTATCATATGGCTAGGGACAATGGGGGAAGGACAATGGGCTGACACCAGAAAGGATGGAGGACATCTTAGTGAACCCTGTGTTTATAGGCCAGTGGCCCCTGGGCCACACAAATGGCATCAAAGCTAGCAGCTTCAGATATGTGAAAAAAGCCTCTGGGACAGACACAGAGTTCATCTGCTCCCTATAGGGACTTTTCCAAGTCCTCCAAAAGATAGCGCTGTGGGATTAAGGAACCACCAGGGATCAGTGGAGGGGCCTGTTATGTGGCTGGGATTTTCCTGCCCCATCACTTGTGGATGACATCCTGTGGTATTCTGTCATAATAAACCTGGGAGTCAGTAAGTAATCTCAGTCTCTTGGGCCTTTGTCACTTAGGTTACCACACAGGCAACAGTGGCCTCTGTGCAATGGCTCCCTGTAGCAGTGTAATAGCGAAAACCTGGAAAGCACCTAGATGCCCACAGTCAGATTCTTTGGTAACAATACAGCTGTAAGCCAGACCAGGGAGGGCCACATGCAGGACCAACAGAAGATGGGACGGAGGTGGTGGGAGCAGAGCGAACAGATGGCCTATATGGCTGAGTGTACGATGGGAGGCTACAGACACCTGACCATACTTTTGTTTTTTTTGTTTGTTTGGTTTTTTGAGACAGGGTTTCTCTGTGTAGTTTTAGTGCCTGTCCTGGATCTCGCTCTGTAGACCAGGCTGGCCTCGAACTCACAGAGAGCCACCTAGCTCTGCCTCCCGAGTGCTGGATTAAAGGCGTGGGCCACCGCCCGGCCTGACCACACCTTTGTAATGAAGTGTTGTTGCTTTACTATGACTCCTTTTTTTCTAAAATGAAGAATAAAAGCAACTGGACATAGTGTTGTGTAACTGTAATCCTAGCTAAGGCAGGAGGGCCAAGAATTTGAGGCCAGCCTGGACTACACAGAGAAAAACTGTCTTGAAAAATGTTTTAATAAACTGTCCAGAAAGTCCAGATGTCCGAGCTTCTCACAGCAGGGCACCCACACATGTGCATGTCAAATCACTTTTGTATAGATCTAACACAGTCAACACAGATGCAGAGAACAGGAAGGGTCATGGAGGCTGTGGGTGGAGGAAGTGGGGGTGCTAGCTAAAGGTCACAAGGCCTTAGCTAAATTCTCCATGTACAGAACAGTGACTGGTGACAGCTACCAGCCCTGTACTGGATGTCTAAAACTGACTAAGGTACTAGGTCCTAGAAAGTGATGGACAGGCCAGCTGTACAGCAGAGGCCATTTCAACATGTACATGTCAGACCTTCAAGCTGCCACACTAAGAAGGAAAGACTTCTAAAGTACCTGTTTTTAATTCCTAGCCCTAGACAGGTTTCAAAAGGGTCACCAGAATAAAACTCAAGGGGACCCTATACTAATACTCAAGACTCTGGAATTGTCCTAGCAGCCTCAGCAACATCCCTGTAGCAATGTTCAGTTTTAGCTGAGCCCTGGGCCTGGGCCTGGGCCTGGGCCTCGGAGCTGCATCTTACCCTCAGAGCTCAGAAACCACACTTATTTTGCATCCAGCGAAACGGAAGCTAATAACAAGGGAAACTATGCAGAGAGAATGAATTAGCCCCATCTGTCAGACTGCAGGCAGGGGAAGGAGGAGGTCTCTGTGGCGGCAGCACCATCTAGCGGCCACTGCTGAGGTCACCACACAGCAGTTCTCCAGACCCCACACAAAGGCTACCTCTTTTTACCTATCAGACCCTTTTCCAAACTTGTCCTAGGAACTCAGTACCTGCCTTTGTCTGGGTACTCCACCATTTCTCTCACTCTCGAGGGCAGGACCTGGACTCTGCTGCATTTGAAGTAAGTAAGCTAGCACAGAATGATGTCAGGCTGGCTCAGTGCCAGCGTTGATAAGGGTCTGGGCTAAGTGATGCTCTACTGAAGGTCTGTTCTGGGTACCTCAGGATGTTTAGCAACCCCTCTGTACTTGGAAGGACTATGGCAACCAAGACTAGCTCTAGATGCCAGCAGTGTACCCAGGAAATACCAGCAGCCCATTGAGGACCACTGAGCTCATTTCCTCTATTCTGGACTTGATAGAATGGTTACTTTGGGCCCATGACTCAAACCTTCTTGGACTTACAATGAGAGAGAGCCCTATGAACCCTGCCTCCCAGGGTGGTTGTTACAGATGAATAAACTGAGCTTATTGAGGGCAGGCCCGAGTCAAACTCTTGCTCTTTGGGCAGCAAAACTGAAGCAGAGAGGTAGGAGTAAAACCTCTCTGGCCTCCTCCAGCGCTCTGAAAAGTGTTGGCCGGAGTGCATGGACCAGAGTCCCGTCTTTGGACTACTCAGCCATTGGGTCTTCAAAATTGAGCTATACAGAGGGAATGCGCGCACACACACACACACACACACACACCCCAGATTCACTCAGCAGAGGAGAACCCTCTCTTAGTCCTTCAGAGAACCCCACCATAGTAAACTGCCCCAGCATGTTCACAGACTGCAGCTGTCACTTCCGGTGTTAAGGTTGAAGGATGTTGCAAGGTGGGGTTCAACCCTGACAAATGAGTGTCCCCTAGGAGTCAGAGACCAAAGGTTAAGCTCCCTCTTGACCTCACTTCTCACATTAGGGCCAGGTAGAGTGAGAAGGTAGTTAAGGTCTAATGTGTCCCCAAAGGTATGTGTGCCCTAACCTCTGTTCCTGATGAGGCATTAGGTGTTAGGAGGTAAGGCTTAGTGAGTGGTATTTAGGTGATGGGGTGAAGCTGTCTCGAGTGGGTCCACATCTTTCTCAACATGAGTCTTCCCTCTCCTGGCTCTGAACTAGTTAGTTACCTTAAGCGCAAGTTACTGTGGGCTTGCAAATGGCTCAGCAAGTAAAGGTGCTTGTCATCAAGCCTGATAACCTGAATTCAATCCTGGGACCCACAGGGTAGAAGGAGAGAACTGATTCCCATAAGTTATCCACTGACTTCTACATGTACTCTGTGTTATGTGCATGTACACACACATTCAAGTGCACAAGTACACACAAATAAATGTGATAAAACTTTTAAAAGAAACACTTGAAGCTTTGCAATGTAGGGAATTACCTATACTCTAAAGCTCACAATTAAAAATAAAATCAGGATACTATGTGATTAATAAGCAAATATTTGGTCCCTTTCACAGCCTTTCTGCCCTGAGTTGAAACGGCAGAAGGCCCTCACAAGGTATGGATGCCTAATTTTAAAATTCTTGACCTCCAAAATTTTAAGTCAAAATAAAGCTCATTCCTTTAAATGACTTAGTTTCTCAGGTCTGGAGAGATGACTCAGTGGTTAAGTGTACTGGCTGTTCTTCCAGAGGACCTGGATTTGATTCCCAGCACCCACATGGTGGCTCATAACCATTTTTAACTCCAGTTCCAGGGTATCTGATGCCCTCTTCTGGCCTCCACAGGCAACAGACACTCAAATGGGACACAGATATACATGCAGGCAAAATACCCATGCACATAACATTAATTGCCTAGTCTCTGTTACAGTAACAGAAAACAGACTGAGATAGTAGCTGTCTACAAGCTAAGAAGAAAGCCCTGACTTCAACTTCAAATTGGACATCTATCCCCCAGAACAGTAAGCAAACACATTTCTACTGTCCAAGGCACTAAGCCTACTAGGGTAGACTGGGCAGACTGAAATACTCAGGAAGCAGACATACGAAACCACCTGTCACCTGACAGTACACAGCAAATGGCAAACAGTATCCTTACAGAGCGACGTCTCGTGGCTGATGTTCTCAAAGAGAATATTCAAGGTTTGTAACAGCTGGACACACACGTAACGACCTGATTTCTGCCGCAGAATGTTCAAGAAGAAAACAAACATATTCTTCTCCAGGAAGAAGCTGGGGAGAGAACAAGAAAGGGTCAGTGGGTGGATATACTCACAGCTCATATATGTAGGCTCTCCCTATATGGCCACCAGTGGCAAGATTAGACTGCACAGTCTCAGTGCCCATGATGCCACCTGCAACTGAGGACAACACATGGCCTTCTGACTGTCTCTCTTCCTGCCTCAGCATATGAGGTCAGTGCTGGTTCCATGCAACAGAATGGGGATGCTCTTTACCTGCTAAGTGATCACACAGCATCCTATGCTGGTGTACCCTACAAGCATCATTCCCTAGCACATACACAACCTGTATCCTTAGCTTCCCCGACAAAACCTATCTCCTTTGCACTCCCATATTCAAGGGCAGGAAAACACAAGAACTGGGTTTCCTTGCAGGGCCCAAAGATGCTGAGTGACAGCGAGCTTCTCACTTCTGTTGTCAAGTTTGCAGCTTTCCTACCTCTCTTCAAAGAACTTGAAGAAAGGTGAAGGTGTTGATGTGGAGGGACCCTACAGAGCCCCCACATCTGCTTCTGCCTTTCTTGTGTTGGAAGGGCCTGTGCCTACACATGGCCAGGGGCATTGGCCTGGGGCTGTGTGGTGGTACATGTGGAAAATAGGATCTTCAGTGCCCTTCCTTTAAGAAAGATGTTGTTTCTATTTATTTGTTCAGTGTATTTGAGCAAAATCAGTTTGGAATAGTCAGAAGAAATGTCAGCAATCCAAGGCTGGAGATATGGCTCAATTGGTAGAGTGCTTGCCCGGCATCACATAAGGCAGGTGTCCAGGCACACACCTATAATTCCAGCACTTGGACAGTGGAGGCAGAAGAATCAGAAGTTCAAAATCATCTTGGCTACATTTTAAGTTCAAAGCTATCCTGGAATATAGGAGACCCTGCCTGTGAAAAGGAAAAGAGACGAGGAGAAGGGAGGGCAGAGGAGGGGAGGGGAAGGGAGAATAGAGAAAGAGTCCTGTAGTCACACGAGTCCCCTGGGTGGCTCAGTTCTAGCTGCCTCTTCCCCTCCACTGTCAGCTCCATGGGGATGGGGCCAGTGGCTTGACACTCACTGCCACAGAGTTCTGCTTGAATCCATAACAGGATATGTGAATGATAAAACATGATCTTAAAAAACAAACAACTAAATTCTTTTCCCACTTTGACTCCAGGATGCCATCTGCCTGTAGACACTGCTCCCTGACTTTCACATGTGTACCATGACACGTGAACACCCTGGTGTAAGTGTACTCACACTCACCACCCCCATCCCAGCACACACATATAAAATCTGTGTTCTTGGCTGTCATAACCCAATATCAAATCCTTTTACATTAAGACTTCAAAACAGGTACAGAGGAACCCTGGTTTCCAGCCTAAAGAGCTGTCCAATGGGAACACCTCTGTCTATCATGTGTATCATCCATGAGGCCTGTATGCTGCCAGGTACTAGACAGGGAGCATTTTCTCTCTTTTTAAAAAAATATTTTATTATTATTTATTTATGTGTATATGTGCATTTGTCCGTATATGTGCATGTATCTAAGGTTAGGGCCATCCTCTGAATCTGGAGTTACAAGCAGTTGTAAGCTGCCTGATGTGGGTGCTAGGAATTGAACTCGGGTCCGCTGTAAGAACAATACATGTTCTTAACCACTGAACCATCTCTCCAGCCCTCTTTCCTATCTTTTTTAAAGACAGGGAAACTGAAGCTCAGGAAGGCAAATGGCCTGGCCTAAGCCTGCTGGTCTACTATAAGGATGGGAAAAAACTTCTTTGTGGACTCTGGGTAAGACAGGCTCCCTCACTGTCTACCAGCAACATATGGAGACACCAACAGGGCTTACATGTGGGCCGGGGGTGGGGTGGAGAGATTTGTCCTCTCAAAACTCAGCACCGTTGCCCACCCTCAGTCAGCACACTAGGGGCTGGGGAGATGGCTCAGTGGATACAGGGCTTGCCTCAAAAGCATGAGTTCAGATCCCTAGAACCCACATGAAACCTGGTGGGTATGGCAGCCTGCCTGTAAGTCAGGCCCTCAGGAAGCACAGACAGGGGATCCCGAGGACAAGCTGGCTAGTTAGTCTAGATCACTGGTTCTCAACCTTCCTAACGCTGTGACCTTTCAACACAGTTCCTCATGGTGTGCTGACACCAACCACAAAATTATTTTCATTGCTACTTTATAACTGCAATTTTGCTACTGTATGAATGTATGTACTGTCTGTTTTCCAATGGTCTTAGGTGACCCCTGTGAAAGGGTCATTTGATCCCCAAAGGCTCATAACCACAGGTTGAGAACCACTGGTCTAGATTGAATTAACAAGCTTTGGGTTTAGCAAGGGACCTTGTTTTAGTAAATTAAGTGGAGAGTGATGGGAGGATGAAACTGACATCAACCTCTGATCTCCAACACATGCGCATGAGTGTGCACACATGCATCTACACCCACCTACATATATGCCCACACATGTTCCAACATGCATACACACCACATATATACACATGCAAATAAGTAAAATAAAATAAACACACTAAGTGCTGGCCCTCAGCAACTCCCTTGGGGCAGGACCTTTCTGTTCATTTGGAACCTAACGGTCCAGGACATTCCTCATGCCATGGAGTAGATAATAGGGTACAACTTGGAATGCAATCTACAACATCTTCAGCTTTTCTAGAGAAGCTCACTTCCATAGTTCTTCCATTTTTAGCTTGTGCCTCTACAGTCTCTCAAGGACATTTGTTATAGATATTTAGGCAAGATGGAATTAGCATCAGTTCCTGACTCATGGTGTGCACTTGGGAAAACACTCAAAGGAAGAGGAAGGATTGGAAAACAAAAGCACTACAAGCCTTACTCAAATACAGAGCTGTCATTCTGATCGCCCCAAATCAGGATCTCAGTGATGGAACGGATGGTCTCCACCAGCAGGTTCCGGTTCTGTTCTGTGACGGTGGTGTTTTTGGTTAAAACATGGTAGAGGTACCTAGAAGAAAAGGAAGAAACAAGAGCTTACACAAACTGAGCTGAAAGCCAGGCCCAAGGGCCACTGGCCACACTCATAGCACAGCTGTGATATTTACGTTTCTGTCAGCACAGTTTCCCATTCAGAGGACACAGAAGTCAGCACCCAAGAAAAATGGCAGAAGGAGCTCTGAAGCATTACATGCCAGGGAGACATCTGTCCAAACTGAGGCAAGAGCACTGCCAAGCCCTGAAACCAGCACCTGAAAACTTTAGGGTGCAAGGGAACCACAGACTGGCAAAATCAGAGGCTCCTGGGGCACACGTGGGGATTCCATTTTAGAACCGAAGGAAGAGCAAGCATGGCATGCCTCACAGTCCACAGTGATGGATGCCAAGAGCGACAGTGGTCAGTGCCAAGCACCTGACACAGGACTCAAAGCAAGACTGGCGCTGAGATTCCAAGAGACAGGGTCATAGTCAGGGACAGTGGACCCCACCTCAGAGCCTAGGCACTCAACACTACTTTTGGAATGCCTATAGTTCCTCTCTAGTGCAGCGCACCCATGGAAACTAGGACTCAAAGTGGGACAGAATGAGCAACTCCTGTCCAAGGGGAACAAACTCCTCTGCTAAAATCTAGAGTGAAATGGCTGGGGGAGGCCAAAGTCCAGGCAACTCCACCTGTCAAGGCCTTAGGCTTACTTAGGAAGGAAAAGCAAGCTCAATAGAAGGTGGCTCGAGACATCTTTCAGGGTCACATTCAGTTTCTGAATGAGGCTGGGAGAGCAAGAGAGGAAGAGAGTAGAGGAACTGTCCCTCCTACCGTCCAGAAAAGTAGGGAACAAAGAGACAGAACCTTGGAGGTTGAGTAATTAGACCTAGCTTCTCCCAGCATGGCTGGCTTCTTCTTTTTTTTTGGGGGGGGGGGAGGGGGGGAGCTGAGGACCGAACCCAGGGCCCTGCATTTGCTAGGCAAGCACTCTACCACTGAACTAAATCCCCAACTCCGGGGCTGGCTTCTTGTAGTAACACTGTGGCTGTCTGTTAAGTTTTAAGGACAGCGTCAAGTGTTTCCTGTTCTGTGTTCTCACTATGCTGGGGAATAAACCTACAGCCTCAGACATGCTAGCTAGACAAGGCTCTGTCACCAAGCCACAACCTCCACCTCCCCGTTTTTCATCAGTATATTTTATTTTGAGACAGGATCTAAGTTATTTGACCCAACTGGCCTTGAACTGGCTCTGTAGCCCAGGAAACCTAGAACTTGTGACCTTCTCATCTCAGCTCCCATGTGAGTGGGATTACAGCCATATCCTGCCTGCACGCACCAAACAGCAAAACCCTCCAAAAAGATAGGTCATGCAACCCTGGAACCCAGGTCCACCCACAGTGCTGCACAGGAGGAGGACACAAGGCCCACTCTCCTCTACACTAAAGAACCTAACAGCCCTGGGACACACTGTAGGACCTAGTTACAAATCTGTGTCCACTGTGTTTCCAGTGCAGACCCTCCACGAGGCGCCAGGAACACTTTTCCAAATTGGGGCTCACAGGCCTCCTGTACCTGCCTCACCTGTTTAAGCTGTTCCTATACAGCCCCACTGAATTAGGCTACTGGGTGAATGGGTTAAAATGATGAGTCCATGTGCATATGTGTGTGTTGCTGAGGATCAAACCCAGGGCCTCACATGCGCTAAGCCCATGCTTTACAACTGAGCTATATATCCTATGCCCCCACCCCTGAAAAGTTTGATGGCTGCTCTACCACTCCCACTGTGGTCATCAGGGACACTCTCCACACAGTCCACACAAGAACTGACACTCCCAGGGACAAGGCAATGCTGGCAGTGTAGGTCAGGGAGGAGCAGATTCCTCCCACTCTGGAGATAGAACAGACACACCCAGGACGATAACATACATGCAGTGGCATCACACACCACACTCCTGGCTCACTGGGAAGCAGCAGCATGGGGGAGTATGTCTACTCAGGGCCTCCAACTGCAGTGGACAGGGTCTGATGTCAGCTGAGTAGGCGTCTGAACCGGCTGCCCTTGCTGCCTTATCAGTCAGCAACTGTTGCTCAGATGCAAGGCTCAAGTACCATCTCTAAATGAAGCTTTCTTTGGAGAAGGCTTTTTCACTCCCAACCTCTAACCCCCATGGACCTGGCTGTCCCCTCCTCACTGGCACCTCTATCCTCTGTGAAGTACTTGCTACTTAACCCAACTGGCCTTGAACTGGCTCTGTAGCCCAGGTAAACTAGAACTTGTGATCTTCTCATCTCAGTCCTGCTACTTCACAGAGCAGTGTGTTCTCAATGGTTGGTCTCTCTGACTAGACTGGAACCTCCGGTCAGGCAAACCATCTTAATGATCTCAGTGACTCCAATACACTCCAGAATGGCTGGTACACAGCAAGTGCTATCTGTATAAACTCTGAGTGAGGCAGAGGCAGTCTCCACTAATATAAGCTGGAATATAGTATACAAGACTAGGTAAAGTAAGGGTTCAAGTTATAGCACAGAGCTGTGATTAAGAGCTCATCAGGCCTTGGAATGCAACAATCTTGGGTTTGACCCCTGGCCCTGGCACCTCCTAGGTATAGTCTAAGACAGGCATTTCACCTCACCTCTCTGCAGCTCTGTCTAAACATAGTAATAACCACAAAGGATATGAGCAGCCAAGCATGGTGCCTGGCATACGAGGTGCGCAACACATAAGAAGCCTTAGCTGTAACTGTTATACTATGGTCATTAAGATGGGGGATGTTATGAACATCCTTATTAGATTGTACAATACCAGAGACTTTGGAAGGTGATATCAGGCTGGTCCCAAATAGTCAGGGAAAGAGGACCGCAAGGAAAAAAAATGAGGTGGAAAGGTCCAAGGAACTTAGAGCAGGAAGTAGAGCTTGTGGGTCACTTCTGGAGAAGCAGTAAAGTATGTGGGGTATCACAGACACCCGCATTAGCATACCTCGTGATATCTCCATTACTAATAACTCAGTGATCGATACAGGCTCCTTCATCTCTGTACCTTACTGACCTCCTCTGTAAGAAGGGAGCACCTGTCATTATGGTGGCACTGGGAAGAGAAGATAAGAGATAACTGAGCTTGGTGGCACTGGAAAGAGCAGATAAGTAAAAAGAGGGATAACTAAGCTGGGTGTGGTATACACATCTGCAATCCCAGCACTAGGGAAGCTGAGGTAGGAGAACTACTTTGAATTCAAGACCAGCCTGGATGAACTACACAGTGATACCTTCTCTCAAAAATTTAAAAGAAATTCCAGCATACAGGAGGCAGAGTCAGGTGTATCTCTGTGAGTTCCAGGCCAACCAGGGTACCATAATGAGACCCTGTCCTGTCTAAAGGGGAAGGGGGTACTAAAGTGCTAGTTTTTATCATAATGGCTTCTTTTGCTATGTAATAACTTTTTTAAAAAATTCTATTAGCTCGCCAGGTGGTGGTGGCACACACCTTTAATCCCAGCAAGAGGGAGGCCATGCTTGGTACTGGAAACCTAGCTAACTAACCAGTGCTAGTTAACTCATGGTTATTGAAGAATCTACAGACACTAATTTATTAAACCAGCACAATCCCTAACAATCTATTAGCATTTGTCCTTATACCCACAGATAAGTGTAGTCTTCACCTCTCATCAAGTAAATGTCTCTTTGCAACAGAGGAGACCACTACACAAAATCACATCAAAATGCAGAGGACAGTCCCAACAGATACATCAACAAAACATTCCTATACCTAAGGCTCACTGAACATTACAGAAGAGGGGGTGGAAAGAGTTTAAGAGCCAAGAGGATCAGGGAGTTTGCTGTGAGACTGTGTCTCCTAAGGTGGTAGTTTGAATGTAATTGGCCCCCATAATCTCAGAGAGTGTTGGAGTGGGTATGGCCTTGTTGGAGGAAGTGTGTCACTGTGGGGACGGGCTTTGAGGTTTCCTATGCTCAGGAGACCACCCAGTGTCACAGTCAACTTCCTGTTGCCTGCAAGATGTAGCACTCTCCATCTTGCACCCTCCAGCACCACGTCTGCCTGCACACTGCCATGCTCCCCACCAGATGATAACAGACTGAACCTCTGAAACTGTAAGTGAGCCACCTGTGAAGGGGCCCCAAAATAGCTTGACCACACAGCAGCCATGACAGCCTTAGGGGCCCAGACACAGCTTCTGTGACAGGTATACCGGCAGGCAACACCCAGATCCAGGAAAAGCCTTTAAGCTGATATCACCCAGGGATCTACCCAGGGGTGAGGAAGTACCTGACATCCCAGACATTCCAACCATTAGATAAGGTGGCCAGATGTCCTTGAGTCTAGCCCACACCTATTTTTGTTTTACAGATACCCCTAGACAATTGTCAGCCAACAGTCCTGGACCCTGGATATCCCCTCACCCCAACCTCTGCTATGATAAAAACTCTGCCTCACCTGAGTTCAGGGCTCTCTGCTCTCACCTTGGACAGACAGAGGGACCAAGCTCTGAAGCTTGAAATAAAGGCTCTTTGCTTTTACATGTGGGATTCAGTCTCCGTGGTGGTCTTTTGGGAATCCCCTCGATCTGGGCATAACACCACCTAATCAAATGTTTTTGTTATAAGAGTTGCTGTGGTCATGGTGCCTCTTCACAGCAACAGAAACCCTAACTAAGAGACCTAGTAATATCAGAAGCTATATTCACTGAGTCTCATAACATGACTTCCCAAACATGAACTGAACAAGGATGACATTGATGACCTGGATGGAAAATAGGCCCATGGGGCCTCAAGCCTGCACAAAAGAATTACAGGCAACTCAGGAAAGCTGGAAGCAGGAGAGGTGGCCTTCCCCAGAGAAGAACACACCAATTGGTTGTCTGCTGCCAAACAGCCCTGAAAGCATACATATAAGTAATATTATATAAACTAAACACATTATATGTAACAATACACACACATATATATATATATATGCATCTACATATAGACATGTAATAACAATTAGTAAAAAGAGGCCATAAATT